CTAATCTAAATATTGATTAGGGCTATATAAACAAAATCCAATGTTTACCCTAATTTTTATTTTTAGATACTTGTGTATTACATAGAAAAGGATATTGCATAATACTGCAAAATGAATGGCTGTAATATTTTATTTTTCCCCCTATATAGTTTCCTACAGAGTGTTAACTTTGAGTATGTAAAAGTCATACTACTAAACCTCTGGTAATAAGCAACTGGTATAGGACGACTATGAGTAGGAATGGACTCTACAGCAATGGGTTTGGTTTTTTATTTTTTTAAAATGGGGTTGGGTATCTAGTACTGAAAAAGTGATTTAGACTAAACTGAAATTAAATTTAAACTGAGACTGAGTTAAATTTCCATTCCTATTTTCTCCCGTGTAGATACTCTCATAAACTTATAAGATGACTGGAAAAAAGACAAGGTCTGTGGTGCTGACAAATTCTTACTCTGTGCAAACCTGACTTCGTTTGCACAGGGTTTGAAGATGAAACCTTGTCCTCATTAACGCTGTGCTTTCACCAACGGAACTGATCAACTGGATTACAAATCAAGACGCTTTACCTATTCAGACTGAAATTCATTATCATGGCTCCATCACGTTACTAGTCAGACACAATTCCCAGACTCTGTACAAACTTCCTATGTGTTCATAATACAACCAATTTCCATGCCGACCAGTCCCCACAACACCAGTCTAAGTGGCCACAGCTGTTGCAAAGAACTGGCCCTGACTCCTCTAGTGCTAGCCCCACTCCTTACTGTTCTTTCTACGAGCATCTGTATCCGAAGTACCAAACAGACCCACCAAATGCCAGTAGCAAGGATGTGCAAATAGTGGGTCAAGAAAAATGGAGATAAAACATTCTCACGTCAAGGATTTTTAAGAAGTCAGGCGAATCGTTGTAAACAAGAGGTGAAATAAGCAGATGAAAAAGGAAATAGAAAAAAAGAGGGTGACGCCTGTAAAGATCTAGATCCAAAATAAATGTAACTAATCTGGATAAAATTGTCCTATTGCTTCCCTTCTCCCATTTTGGGTCTGGCTACTTTTTGGTCTCGTATTTCTCCTTCTTTCTATCCTCTCTCTGACCTTTTTCTCCTCCTTCTCCTCTAACACCATAAGCTGAAGTTTTATCAAAAACATTCATCGTTTATTCTATGCCTAGTCATAAATTAGGTACAAGCGATGCAAAAGAAAGGCATAAGACATGGTTTCTACTTTCATGTAGGTTAGAATGACAGTAAACACATTGACAGGCTCATAATAATAATAAAATAATAATAATAGTAAAGTGAAATACTATGTGAAAAATGCCAAAGAAAGGCGGTAAAAAGTGTTCAATTTCAGTAGAGAAATTTTGAGCCAGAGTGATGGAATCGGCCATCAGAGAGAAGACAGGGTGCGTGCAGAGTCCTGAAGGCCTTGAGGAAGTAGAGAGAAACGGTGCTGAGTCTACTCCTGCTTGTTCTCTTTTAGTCAATGATAAAAGAAAAAAAAAAAAAAATTCCCTGCAGGCTCTAGGTTCCTCTTTGGTGGGCCCAGTGCTCTGGCCAGGACTATAGAATTTATACCAAAGGCAGTAATGAGATATCAGAGATTTTTTTTTTCTTTTATTTCTTCTAAAGCTACAGAGCATAAAAAGAAAGGGAAGAGATTTCAGACTGATTAGGAAACCATTACAATAGTCCAAACGAAAGATGATAAATGCATGAATTAAAGTGACAGCCATGGAAATAAAGAAGGAGAAAAACATTTTAGATACTGGTAATTGGGAGTATTTAATTGTGTGGATTTGGGAAAGGAGATGGGCTCCCAGGGATGAGCCTGCAGATACAGAATCTGGGTCATCAACATATAGTAGGTGTCGATAGTAGTAGGAACCCAGAATGTAAAGAACAAGAATAAACTGGCCAAGGGCTGAAGCCCATAGAGCTCCAACATTTAAAAGTAGACAAATTTGGAGAAGCAGTAGGTTGTTTTTTTGTTGGATGCCACCAGTCTATTCTGACTCATACCAACCCCATATGACAGAGTAGAACTGCCACATAGGGGGTTCTTGGCTGTAATCTTTATGGAAGCAGATCACCAGGTCTTTCTCCTGAAGAGTCGCTTGGTGGGTTTGAACTGTCAACCTTTTGGTTAGCAGCTGAATGCTTCACCGTTTGCACAACCAGAGCTTTTTGGGAGAATGAGTATATATGTATATATTTGATCTCCAGTGTAAAAATATATATATTCCTATACTAGTTAATTGTCACTGGTGAAGGGATATCAAATAGCCCAAACAGAGACAAGACCTAACTAAGCTAACCACTCTGCTCCTATGCATAGTTACTTAGAACAAAAGAGGAAGAGGACAAACGAGTCCCCACCCCCACCTTTCCTGTCTTCCAACAAAATGCATTTCAAATTCTAACAATGATAAAAGTCATACGCAGGTTTTTATTAGGAAAAGATTTCCCCCAAAAAATCAACAAATAATCAAACCTACCCCCGTAAAATCTCCAAATTGTAGAGTATTTAGAAATTAATTGAAATGCTTAACAAATTAAATCAGTAATTTCTATTGAATGCTTGTGATGTGCAAGGCAGAGTACACGTTTGTAGCATGAGCTGCTCTTTTTTTAAGGTAGCTGGAAAAAATGAAGACTTATTTCCAGGAAATGAATCTTAACCGCGATGTTGGAGTGATAGATTTACCTGACATTACATCTTTGTGAGAACCGGAGAACACGCCTTCATAACTGAATTTTTCAAGCCACCGTTGTCCCCTAGACTTATTTAGAAATTTTCAACAAAGCCTTGGTTTCCAGTTGTCAAGGCAAAGAGGCAGAGAGTAAGAAGATTGTGAAATTTTGTATAAAACTGAACCATGTATTTTTGCTGCCCTGGCAAAGCTGAACTTTGGTCTTCTACATACTTGTATTAAATAAAACATCTGAATCGTGCACATATTTCTCTCACTGCTTTAGGCTCTATTTCTTTAGCCTTTAGATTATACAGTATAAATTTTGCTGTGCAAAATTTAACATATCCTGTAGATACTAAACTCAATTTTAACATGTTAGAATAAAACATATAATCCAACTTGTGTTGCTAATAAGGAAAAATACATAGTTTAAATCATCAATAACCACGCAAATTACCCATTGAACCATAACATGTCTCTTAGAATTTAAAACTATGATGAACTGCAATTGCAGACTCAAGTACATATGTCTGTATGCATTCTCCAGAAAAAGGTGTATATTTCAGGAAGACTTCAACACCTTTTAGAAAATTTGCTTTCCCTATTTATGAGAGTAATCGACGATAAATTTAATCTTTCAAAAGAAATCTACATACATGTATCCATTTCTCTATTGTATAAATTATTCAGGAAAGCTGATTTAAAGCCTTCTAGAGTCTATTAGATTTGTATTTTGATTATGAATTAAAAGATGCTTCTCATGATAAAAGTACCTTCAGTATACTGAGTTGAAATTTTTTATGGCGATTTGCTGTGTGGCCTACAAAATATTTCTGCATTTCTTTATGCTCATGTAGAAATGCTTTGCAACAGTTCCCGAGTGGGAATTTTTCATGGAAATAAGCCCTGATTTATGATAATACACATATATAACCTCATTTAAATTATTATTCTTTATAATTTGATTTTGATTAGGATAAGCGACTTTTTAAGATGGCAATTTGATATTTTCTGTACTAAGACAAAAGGCTGTTTCTATGTAGTTTTTTTTTTTTTTTAAATTCCTTTTTACAGGGGCAAAAAATTTATCTCAGACTCCTTTTCTTTCCACTCTCCTCGGCTACCTAAAATATCACCAGCGATGTAACATGCTCAAGAGGAGGCTGATGCGAGTGTTTCAGAGAAATGGAGAACAGTGGGAAGTATAAAAAATGATTTCAAAGTTAATACCCATAAGCAAAATTTTTAAAAAATCCTTCTTTTCTATTTCTTTTTTTTTCTTCTGGTGACTGGTTTGGAATTTCTAAAAGAATACCATTTTCAATATTCTTTCAATTAAAAACAAAGGTTTTTAGATACATCATAAGGAGGAATATTAAATATCAATTTATTAGTTCCACTTAATAATCAAATGTACTCACGATCCAATAAAAAAAAATTGTTCAAGAAATGTCCATCAAATAGACCCTAAGTGTACAAAGATCTCAAACTTAAATAGGTACTCTAGGCCCAATTCGGTACATTCTCTTGTAGAGCACGACGTTTGCGTGATTCTTTAAGTTTAAATATTTCTATCTCCTCAAAGCTCTAACACTTACCCATCACCCAGGAAGGGCGGTGGCCCCACAGAATTACCAAAGCAAAAATTTATTAAAACTTTTAACAAGGAAATACAAACTTGATTTAAAATATGTTCTGTGAAAAGACTTTGCAGAAACTTAGTATTTCATTATGACCCCAAGTATATTATTTTTAACAATCATATAATTAAGTATTCAATAAAATATTTTAACTAGCAACCAAATTTTGAGGAAGCAAACTCCTGGTCCGAAGAGAGGGAGTTGCTCACATGCAAGCAAAGCCATTTTATAACTTTAAATTTTTTTATGACTTATGCATTTTTGGTTGAAAAGATAAAAACACACCTACTTCGTCATTAAAAAATTCCTTGGAGTTGCATAAACTTATGTTCGTGTTACACTGAGGCTTAAGTAACTAATGTTGCTTTTGCAATACCCTTGACCCGTTTGTAAACAAAGATATATAGAGAAAAAGTTTTACTTTTAAATTGTAATTTTTCTCCAATATTCATGCTTTTTAAAAACAGAAACAAGGTGTTTTGTCACATAACAAGCCAAATCTCGCTGATCTATGGCAGCCTTAACCATTTTACGGCAGTCTTCCTCTCTTTGAGTCATCAACACTTACTTTTTTTTTTTTTAAATTTTCCCTATTTCCAACCAACGTTCCCCCAAAAGGTAAAGTAATAATAATAATTAAGGAATCTTAATATCCTTCGACTTACCTGTAACAAGCACTCCCATGTCCAGAAAGACAAAACCAAATGCCAAAAGTTTAAGCCACAAATACATGGTCATATCTGGAAATCAGCCGTATGAAACAGCATGCGTCCTTCTGGAAAGCAAAATAATGGTTATCTCTGTAAAAGTTTCTCCCTGTAAAACTGAATCAAAAATAAAAGAACTAAATGCATACTCCTGACTGTTGTCTTATCAGACAGGGAGCAATTTCCTCCTCTGTTAGCGTAAGAACAAACCACTTGCTAGCTACATGTATGAGGTGGTGATGTCAGATTCAGTTTTACCAACTTCTCCAAAAATACTGTAAAGGGTCCTCTTTGCAGGAAGTCAAGAGAGTTGTTCAAAGGCAGTGCAATGGCCTCTTACTTCCTTAATTCAAGTAATTAGACTAAATTAGTAGGCTTTTTAAAAGATTTTCCCCTCAAGGAAGATGTTTTCCAAACTATCCAAATAATACTGCTTTACAATATTCATTGCAACTTTCTTTTTTAAATCAGATCCCCCCCAAAGTAATAAATAATATTTTTACCTAACAGATGATAAAACAGATACATCATCGGTATAACTAAATGGGGTTGGCAAGATGATAAAATAACTGAATTAGCAGACAATACTCTATGTGATTTAGTAAAAAGACCAAAATGAGTGAACGAACCACTACCTATCTGGTTATTTTTGGCAACCAGTACCATTTACCATTACAGCCTTCAAAACGTGGCAATATGACAGTTATAGAAGTCAAATCCATTTCCTATGCAAAAGCACTCTCAGAGAGCTTAACAGGTTTGCCCCAAATCTTTCACAGATGTCCTTGGTGGGGCTAGGAACAGAATCAGAATGTCACTTCTGCTACGGCAAATCCTGCTTCAAAAATTAATGCTTCTGTGACTTGGGATATTCTTAGTGCTATTGATGAGGGGAAGGAAGAGCTGTCTTTTATAAATGTTAAGCTTTTTTTTTTTTCTTTTGTAGTGGGGGCAATAGTTTCCCAAGTATTTTGATAAATAAGACAACAAATTAATATACAATACTCTTCATGATTCAGATGATGTTCTTAGCAAGTCCACCAATTAAGGAAAATGCTTACTGGCAAAAAGCTATTATGCAACCAGCAATGCAATTACATGAATTGGTATCATTACGACAGTCTCTGTGTGCTTTTAAAAATAACATTGCATAAAGGACCACAACTACCACAACTTTACCAGACTGAGTCCAGCACAACTAGATGGTGCCCGGCTACCACTACCGACTACTCTGACAGGGATCACAATACAGGGTCCCAGACAGAGCTGGAGAAAAATGTAGAACAAAATTCTAACTCACAAAAAAAGACCAGACTTACTGGTCTGACAGAGACTGGAGAAACCCCAAGAGTGTGGCCCTTGGACTCCCTTTTAACACAGTACTGAAGTCACTCCTGAGGTTCACTCTTCAGACGAAGATTAGACAGGCCCATAAAACCAACAATAACACACACGTAGTTCAACCATGTATATGACACTAAATGGGCACACCAGCCCAGAGACAAGGACAAGAAGGCAGTAGAAGACAGGAAAGCTGGATGAATGGAAATGGGGAACCCGAGGTCAAGAAGTGTTGACACATGGCGGGGCTGGCAACCAATGTCACAAAACAATACGTGTGTTAATTGTTTAATGAGACACTAATTTGTTCTGTAAACGTTCACCTAAAGTATAATTAAAAAAAAAACATCGTACACACGTACAATGCAATATTAATTTGAACTATAGAGAATGCTTGCTGGACTTATATATAGATCCCTTGCAGTAACTCTGCAATCCCCAGTTAGGAAACACTATTGCAGGGTTCTTGTTTTTAAGTAAATAAATCTTTTGATCTTTATAAACTTATGCATTTTGTTTTTATATTGGCTGCTAGAAATCATACAGCCAAGTTTGCACACACACCCTTTGTGAAAAGGGAAATAATCTCACAGCCTAAAATCTGGATAATAACCTTATATAAAGGTTATTGCTGTAATTCTGATTATTATAATTATCATAGCTTATTTTGAAGCTTTTACCGTGGGCAGGAACTATGCTTAGCACTTCATATGCGCTATCTAATTTAGTACCACAATCCTTGAGATAATTAATGTGATTATCCCCATTTTATCTATGAAACTCAGAGCAGTTAGGTGATTTTTTTCAAGGTCTCACACTAGGCGGTATGTATGGTATGGTTTGAACTCAAGTATTCTGGTTTCATTTTACTTCCCTTACTTTATTTTCTTCTTTCCTTTTTCTTATCCTTTCCTCCACTGTTTCATGTCATGTCTTTTTTTTTTCTTTTTTAATTTTTTTATTGTACTTTAGATGAAGGTTTACAGAGGAAATTAATTTTTTATTAAATAATTAATACATGTATTGTTTTGTGACATTGGTTGCTACCCTACGACATGTCAACATTCTCCCCTTCTTGACATTGGGTTACCCATTACCAGCTTTCCTGTCCCTTCCTGCCTTCTCGTCTTTGCCCCTGGGCTGGTCTCGTTTTGTTTTATGGCCCTGTCTAATCTTTGGCTGAAGGGTGAACTCAGGAGTGACTTCATTACTCATCTATAAGGGTGTCTGGGGGCCATACTCTTGGGGTTTCTCTAGTTCCTCTCAGATAAGTAAATCTGGTTTTGTGTGTGTGTGTGAGTTAGAATTGTGTTCTAAATTTTTCTCCAGCTCTGTCCAGGACCCTCTATAGTGACCCCTGTCAGAGCAGTCAGCCAGTGGTGGTAGCCAAGCACCATCTAGTTGTGTTGGGTTCATTCTGGTGGATGCTGTGGTAGTTGTGGTCCATTAGTCCTTTGGACTAATCTTGCCCTTGTGTCTTTGGTTTTCTTCTCTCTCCCTTGCTCCAGATGGGGTGAGACTAGTGGAATATCTAAGATGGCTGCTCACAAGCTTTTAAGACCGCAGATGCTACTCACCAAAGTAGAATGTAAAACATTTCTTTATGAACTATGTTATGCCAATTGAAGTAGATGTTCCCTGAGACCATGTTTACCATGTCTTTTTAATAAATTTTTATTTTATAAAATTTTAATCTCTAGAACATAAAATATTGATTCCATAAAATAATGTTTTTCACTTTTGCAAATGTGTTTTTAAAGAAAATAGCCATGAAAATAAGTATCTTATTAGTATCTTCATGTTGTTGGTGGTGGTGGTAGGTGCTGTTGAGTCAGTTCCGACTTATAGTGACCCAATGTACAACAGAACGAAACACTGCCCAGTCCTGTGCCATCCTCACAATAATCATTATGCTTGAGCCCATTGTTGCAGACACTGTGTCAATTCATATGTTTGAGGGTCTTCCTCTTTTTAGCTGATCCTCTACTTTACCAAGCATGATGTCCTTCTCCAGAGACTGGTCTCTCCTGCTAACATGTCCAAAGTAAATGAGACAAAGTCTCACCATCCATGCTTCTGAGGAACACTCTGGCTGTACTTCTTCCAAGACAGATTTGTTTGTTCTTCTGGCAATCCACGTATATTCAATATTCTTTGCCAGCACCATAATTCAAATGCATCAATTCTTCTTCAATATTCATGTAGGCAGGTCTAATGAAAAATAGTGTCAGAGCTCACAGAATTTGAGTACTCAGCTTCTTCTCTATGATTAAAATGCATTTGTGATGAAAAACAATTGGAGCATGTTCTTGGAATGTTTTTAAACAAATACTTGTGTTTTGTTAGCTTGTTATTTTGGCAGAATATTTGACAAAACTAGAGGCCAGGAGGAAAGGGCATACTGTATAATCTTTTAAAATGGAATAAAGTATATAAAATATACTCTATAAAAAGCTAGAAGTGTGGGTTTCGCACTCTTAAAGAGACATTAAAGAAGAGTTTTGTAGATAGTGGTTTTGAAAAAATAGTAAGATTTTAGCAGATTCAATTTCACTTCAGGCAGGTTGTCAGGGAGAACCTACCCAAGGAACACAAAGCAGATTAACTGTTAGGCAGAGCAGGCCATTCCAGCATCTCAGAATGGAGACAATATGGATCCAGGGGTTTGATTATCCCTGAGATACAGACTGGAAGGAGGGAAGCAAAGAAGGTCCTAGTAGCTCGCTGGGGACAAAGCACAGCTGTCCTATGACAAGTGGACAGCTCTGGATTAGAGGTCCACAAGGAGGTGATAGCACCTGGTCTCTCCACAGGGCATCTGGGGGACCATCTCTTCTACTTACTCACATGAGGGCTAGCATCCAGTCCCTCAGGCAACAGCAGTGGAAAACCCTGACAGAAGATAGAAAGAGTGTTTGTGACATACTGATTTGATCCACTCTCAATGATTTTGACTGGGGGTAAGCAAGCTGCTGATAAATGGGTATTTTTGTTAAGAACGATTGAGGCTAGGAGAGGGCCAGGAAGTAACACCAAAATTTGTATGTTATACATATAGTGGTGCTTCTAGAGTGGTTAAAACACAGTGCATCCAAAACAATCTCAAATTTTGATCAACAAATTTTCAAAACTTTCATAGTTAATTGATTTACAATAGATTTGTTAAAAGCTGTAATATTTTATTTTAAATAAGATTTTACTTGGATTAATCAAGTCACTTACCCAGGTTTTTTTTTAGTGATAGATAATAAAGGTTATAATAAAGATAGAAAGAGATTATATGAGGTTAACTGCAGAAGTAGATGTTATTCATTCATTCATTCACTCATTCATTCAACAAACAGTGAGCTCCGAATATGAGTGTCACTTTACCTGACACAGGACAAATGGTGAGTAAAACACAGACATGCTCCCTGCCCTCGTGGGATCTATACTTTAGCAGAAGAGATAATAATTAATTAACTATTCACTGTGACAAGTTCAAGCACACAGGAAGTACTCGATGGTATCCTTAAAGCAAATAATAATGGTTTTTAGCGTAATTATAAGGTCAGTAGATTTCCCTGGAACAAAAAAACAATGAAGTTAGATCTGAAACAACAATAGAAGTTAAATGGACACTGGGAGAAGGAAAGAATGTTCCAGGCAGAAAGAACAATATATTTAAAGGAAGAGAGTGTGTTTAAGGAAAGAACAAATCATGTGTGGCTGGCATACAGAGAAGCAGAGGTTGCAAATAGATGAGGCTTCAGAGGAAAAAGACAGCAAAACTCTACCAGGCATTGCTGGTTCTAAGAGATTTATCTTTATTCTATGAGCAATAGGAAACTATTGAATTATTTTAAGCATTGTTGTTTTTTTTTTAAAATTATGGTAAAGTAGATACAACATAAAATTGCCATTTTAACCATTTTCAAATGTACAATCCAGTGGCATTAATCATACTAACAATGTTGTTCA